AAATCGAATTTAGACGAAAGCGAAGCATCTTGTCCAGTGCGTCTTCGAATCTGGACCTCCACGTTGCGTCCTCCAAAAGTGATCAGCACGGCGGGATGGAATCCCACAAACAGTGACTACATACTGAGTGGAAACACGCAGCCACCTATCAGCTTCCCTGATAGTTTCCAGAATCCTCTCCTGAAACTCCTCTAAGAGGGAGTGAAATAGAAGAATGATAGCATCGTGACAGATCACTCACCTGCGCAGCCTGAGCGGCAACTTCGGCGTCGCATGCGGAGTTTTGGACGAACGGCTCGACGACGAAGTTGTTCTCGTACTGGGGTCCCAGCACCTCCAGAGCCACACGGACGGCGGAGATCCTGCCACGACAGCATTGGACGCACAAGATGCAAGGATTCGTTGATGAACGTCGGAGGCCGGAACCTAATAATGAGACCGCTCACGAGGCCTGCGAAAAACTCTCTTGCGGAACTTGTAACAGCAATAACAAGCTGTCGCGTGACCGACATGATCGATTGTCTTGTGATAATTGCAGCCTTCGACATGCAACTTTGTGATGCACCCTTTGTCAGTTAGATGCATCCTCCTGGTAAGTTCACAGAAGCATAGCGGTGACTACTGAGTCGACGGGAAAACAACTTGTTCAGATAATTCGTTATTATCTTTGCCGTGCCGAGCCAAAAACGTGAGGTGACTTAGCGGGAGACTCTCGGGTGAGGGGTCTAACCATTCGTCGGCAAGTCGTTGCGGAACGGCGGAGTCGCCATCAGGATACGGTAGGAGGAACCCAAGCCGAATCACTTGTTGAGCTTGGCACGAGCTAGCGATGAGCAGCAGAACCATCAAACACGAGGGCCATCTAGGGAACGCCATGGCTCAAGACACCAATACCCACACAAGCTCTACCTAGATATCTCCAACTCGCCAGAAGCCTTGAAACTACTCCAGTAGTTGGAGGACGTGAAACCAAAACCGAGAGAAATGAAGCGGACCAAGCAGCAACTGAGGAGGTTCCCTCCATAAATTCGGTCGCTCCTGCGGATAAGCGGAAGGCTTCTGGTGGGGATAGGGGGGTGGTGGTGAGAGGGAGGAGGGGGTATGGGAGGAAAAGGGGAAAGCTCGAAGGTATGTCAGACGCTGGGGGGGGAATGTGAAAGGCTGGAGGGATGTGAGAGGTTTTGGGGAAAGTAAAGGGTGTAACATATCATTCGCATCGTTTCATTTCGGTATAAGAAGGTCCTCATGGGTTGGGGCTGAACTTACGCAGTGTCAAGGCTTGTTTTCGGTTCAGGCGTCAAGCTCCAGTCGCCAGACCAGAGACAGGCTTGATCCGTCGGTCAGACGCAGGGCACAAAGCGGATTCGAGCGGGACAGGCTGCTCCGAAGCGGAACTGGTAGGTCCGGAATTGAGCGAAGCGGGCGCTCTGGTTCTTTGAACTCGCTGGTTCAGAATGAAGCCTTTGAGGTCAGGTGCGAAGAACTAAAGAATTGCAGGTTCATTAACAAAAACTGTTACAACAAAGGAGGGATGGTTGTGAACAGCCGTAGTGTCTTGTGACCCATTGAATAATCTTCACTTGCCAGATTAAAATAACGCTTAGCGTGCTGATGAGCCCTGGAATTTGTCAATGACTGTAAATTGAGGGGCAGGCTGAGAACCATAGCCTTGGCGCGAACCACATGGGGTGTGGTTCGAGAAACCAGCCCTTGGTTAGGCTAGCCGTTGGTGGCACCTCGTTCGTTTATATGAGGCTTGGAGGACCAAAGCGAGCGCCTTGCCTTCGCTTCGCCCCATAGCATCCTTTGCCTGACGCATGTGATTACCTTGCGCGGTTCGCAGGCATCAGTGGGTCTGACGGCTCGGAATTGGGACGCAGCCCCGAATCCTGCGGCAAACCCCGCCCGAAAATCGTGCCGCGGTTCTCACGCACAGCTTTTCACAATCAAAGCCCAAATGTTCGACAATGAAAGCATCGGTAAGCAATAACTCGACGTTGTACACTTGTGCTAGCCGCACAAAGTCTGGTTAGCAAAATGGAGGAATAGCCCATATGGAATGTGATCCTCGAATGCAACACTCTACACACCGCTTTCGTCAGAACCTTCGGTTCCATGAAAATTGGTCTGCTGCAGCGCTGCTGTGCCAAGTCGGGCCGCGTGCTTGTGCCAGCCTGCCCTACAAGCGCGGCTCGGCATGCCTGGCAGCTGACCATGTCACATGGGATGACTGGCGCTGCTCTAGCGTTCTTGCGGTCAATCTCTTCCGGCATTGTCCCAGTCACATGCATCACACAGACCAACATCGCACAGACCAACATCACCCAATCGCTACTGGATACAATTTCGCTTCATTCGTCACCTCTCGTACGACAGCGAACGAATGAAGTAACCAACCACTGGGTGATTTGGTGGTGCAACGCAAGCTTAGATGGCGTTCCCACAGTTTCCCGACACCGAAGTTTGCCCATCAGGCTCAAAAATTGTCGGGATGGTGGTCAGAGTGGGGTACTCCCCCACTCAGGACACCGCGTCCTTGCGAGCAGTTACGACCAAATTGCGACCTTCTGACCAGCACTCACGTAAATAATCTAGTCGCACCCAATAGGCCTACACGTCTGACAATCGGATGGACTCAACGATTTGGTTGGGATTTCTGACTCCCGCGTAAAACGGTGCCCGAAAATTTGAAAACAAAACATTCTGAGGCGCACTGAACCATTTCTGCCATTGAATGGCGTTGACTCAGAAACTGGGCAGCTGAACTTCGGGCAACGACACAAAATCGCGGGTGGGGTCGTAGCCCATTTCGGTAAGCGTCGTGGGCCGTCAGATGAGATCGTATACGGCTGTGGATGAACACTCGCACGACGAATTTGATGGGAAACTTGGTGGTCGAACTTCGAGCCGCATGCTGGCAAAATTTCTCGACTTTCTTGTCGGGAAACTGTGGGAACGCTCTCTTATCGTGAATTTGGACCTTCTCGTCCTGCTGCCTAACGAGGATACACTCTCTGCTGAGTTGCCCTAGCAAAAATGGTGGGCGCGTGGTCGGGGGCTGCGAGCGAGGCTGCGGTGTGCCTTCCTGTGCATGTGCTTTCTCCAGAAGGTTCAGGCTAAGGGCGTGCTACATTTTTTACTTCAGCCCGTCCGGATGAGCAGTCGTCCGGACTTTTTAGCGGTTACCGTTGTCGTTTACCTTCGTCAGTTTCCTCGCTAGACCACTTGCGACGTCGTTAACGATCGGACCGATGATGGAACATTTTGTGTGAATTGCCTTCCCAACTCGACCGGACGATTACAGTTCGATAAGTGGACGGACGTAACAGTAAAGCATTTTTATTGGTCTACGATTTGAGTCTTTCAGTCGCTGCAGTGTTACCCTTGTCGCAATCTCGTCGTGATCATGGTTACAACCTAGCGAACACTCTGAATTTCGTCAGGTTGAAAATGTTTTCATAAACAACGTCGGACGAGGTTTAGTCTGGACGTTGGACCCGGACTGCCCGAGATTCGGAATCTGAACCGTTCTCGGACGGTTGTCCGGATTTTAGCCGCTGTTAGAAAATGTAACACGCCCTAAAAGGTTACAACCACACCAGGGCGGTGGCCATTCAAACAGCTCAGCAGCGCGAAATAGATGGCGATTGGGTAGCCTCGTAAAAAAACCTGCTCGCATTGGTCGTAGGGCTCCCACGTCGGCTCGCAAAGACTTTTTCCGGAGTTTGAAATTGATGGGTTCGGGTCGATTCTTGCGAAGCAGAGGTCGATTCTGGGACCGGTCGATTCTGGGCGCACTACACCTAGTCCGCGGTATTTTAACCACGTGAACTGTTTTGCTTCAAAAACCCTTTGTTCATTTTTGGGTAATGAGATGGGCAGCCAGAGACTTTAAGGCTATTGTTTCGCAGCCAGAAGCATTTCCTTCTAAAGAAACTCACACTTAGTGCTCCGAAATAGAGGGCGGATCGGCATTGACCAGGTTTTGACTTCCTCGCCTCACAAAGGGTATGCTAGATTCTACCCTCGATAAATTTACAAACTACTCGTATAAAAAAATTTGACCAAGGAGAAGTACCCTCGCGCGGTTAAGATAGCGGCGGTTAAAATACCGCGGACTAGGTGTAGTCGTCGCAAGCCGCCTCTCGAGGAAATTTCGCGTTGAACAAGAACTTGTAGGCCATCGCTGCCGGTCGTTCCCTCCCTCTCATCACAAATCTCTCTCGCAAAAGGCCCCGGCGGATGACCAGTAGATCCAGAGCGGAACCTTTCGCTACACCTTTTTTCGCAGTCGCCAGATCTGAGACCTGTCGTACGAGACCGTCGCAGACCGCCCCACAATGAAATTTCGCGTTGACCAAGCGCTTAGGGCTTCGCATTATTTTCCCGCGAAGGTTCCTAAACGCAAGCAACAGGCGTTGCCAGTGGTGGGAGCTGGGGGGGAGGGAAATGGCGGAAAGGGGAAATGGGGAGGGGGATTCCCCGCTGCGCCCTTCCTAGACGAGCCATCATCCCTCGTCACGGTGAGCGAGAGGCGGCGGCGGCGTAAGCGCCTGTACGAACCACCACAGTACTGCTGCGCCTGACTCTTCCCCCCGCGATATGCGTGGGTGGGTGGTTGGGTGGTTGTGTTCCCCGTAGACGCCGGATTCAGAAGCAAGTATATAAAGCCCGGGTGCTTGAATCGATCGTTACAAGAGCCTACGAATTCATCCGCTTGTCCCAGAGAAAGATGATTGACTACTCCCGATTCTAATCTATTCCATAGTCATTCCACGTTTGTCATCCGCTCGCCCGTATCGTGATAATTAGTAGCGGCTGCTAGCGTCGGCCAGCCTGGGCGACACGGTGTCTCGGTCGCGAATTGTTAAGTATCAACTCTGTCCGTTCGAGGCTTAAAAGGACCATTTCGACTTACGATCAAGTTGATACTGGTGTGACTCACGGAGTGACTCACGCGGAGCGAGAGTTGGTTCCTCGAAGCGCATCCCGGCTCAAGAATGGCGCGCCGTTGGGTCGCGTTCCTCTGCGCCGCACTGCTCCTCGTGTCACCAGGTACGGCGCTGGTTTCGGTGTCCGTTTCAGAACGCCTCTGAACCGTACAGTTGTCTCAACGCCCTGCTTCCTCCCTCTCGCCCCCTCCACTTCCCCGTCGTCCCTCCCTCTCTCTCTCTACTCGTCTGCAGTCTTGGCTCGTCGCGGGCCTGGGGGCAACGGATGGGGCAACGGCGGTCAAGGCGGCGGCGGTAACGGTCAGGGGGGCGGTGGTAACGGCGGTAATGGTTACGCCTACGATTACGCTGCCGGAAGCGACTACAGCAGCGATGACAGCAGTGGAAGTGACGAATATTACGCCCCCGGACTTGGCAACGGGAACGGGAACGGCGGCAGCGGTGGCGGCGCTGGTGCTGGTGCTGGTGCTGGTGCTGGTGCTGGTGCTGGGTTCGGCCCAGGACCTTGGTGGGCGGATGACGGTAACGGTAACGGCAGCACGAACGGGCCTCGCTTCTTCAACGGGACTCATGTGTGCTTCAACGAATCCGGCCCGTGTCACAACGTAACGGACGGCTGGGGCCCCTGGTGGTTGGACGAGAACGCTACAGCGCCGTGCTTAAACGGAACCGGGCCGTGCTATAATGAATCAGGCGGCTGGGGCGCGGGCCCGTGGTGGTTAGACGAGAACGCCACAGCCCCGTGCTTGAACGGAACTGGGCCGTGCTATAACGGAGATGACTCCAGGCCTTGCATGAACGGAACTGGCGGCAATGGTGCTGGCGGGCCGTGTCAGGGTGGTGGTGGTGGTGGCTACGGACCCGGTCGAGGCGGCGGCAACGGTCCTTGGTGGGACGACGACGACGACGACAATGAGTCTTCTAGCAGTGATTTTCCTGGACCGCCTTTTGGTAACGGAGCGGGTCGATTCGGAGGGCCGTGGTGGCTGGATACGAACGCGACGGACGAGAGTCATCCGTGCTGGAACGAAAGCAGCCCTTGCTTCAACGCCACGGGCCGATGGGGGCCGTGGTGGCTGGACGAGAACGCTACAGCGCCGCCCTGCTTGAACGGAACCGGGCCGTGCTATAACGGGGATGGATCTGGCTGGGGTTTCGGGGGTCCCTGGTGGCTGGACGAGAACGGCACTGCTCCTTGTGTCAACGGAACAGAGCCATGCTTTAACGGAACGGGGCCTTGCAATAACGGATCTGGATGCGGAAGGGGAGGGTTTGGGAGAGGCGGGTTTGGGAGGGGCGGGGGATTCGGGCGGGGTAACGGTCCCTGGTGGTGGGACGAGGATGACGTGGAGGCATTTAACAGCACCACGTGGCCTTGCATGAGCGGAAATGGCAGTGGGTATGGCCCTGGCGCCGGAGGTGGTTTTGGCGGCGGTTTTGGTCCTGGTGCTGGTGCTGGTGCTGGGTTCGGAAATGGTCAGGGAGGAGGCAACGGCTACGGGAATGGATATGGTAACGGATCTGGGATGGGTCCTTGTGTGAACGGCTCGGATGGCTCCACACCCTGCTGCAACGGATCTGGACCGTGTGTGAATGGGAGCAGTGGTGGTAACCCGTGGGTCAACAGCAGCGGAGGAGGAGGATTCGCGTGTGGTGCTGCGGACCCTGCCCTTGGGAACATGACAGGTGAGACTCTTGGGGATAGCATTCTTTCTTTCTTCCTTGTTTCGCCAACCTTTTTCCCATGTGGTGTTGGTTGTGACAACGAGTGGTTATAAGCGTTACTGTGTGTTTTTTGTGTTATTGTGCTTGTATGTGATTGTGCTTATAACAGGTCGGGTGAGAGCGTCCCTCGCCAGCTGCTCTTCTGATGCTCCTCTGCTGTCCGGAGGCTCCTTCATCCTCTCCATCTTCAAGTAAGCTCCTTGTCATTTTGTTCTCGTTTTCCTTCTTCAATGTGTTTCCATCGGTTATGTTTGAACTGGTGTAGTGATTGTTTTCCCCATCTTTCTCATTCATCGGTACTCACGCCATAACAATTGCCATCAGCACTCCATGAGAACAAGGAATGATTTTCATTGGAATCTTTTCATCTCCTCATAGATTGACATAACCTGTATTTGTTTTGCTTCTAACCACTCTCCCACTCCACCAGGAACGCCACGGGTCATTTCAACCTCCATTACACTGTGATAATCCGTAACATCACTTCTGCCTCCTCCGTCCCCGATACAATCACACTCGTTAAGAGCAGCGCTGCCTGCAACAGTTCCGCCCCCACCCTCTTCTCTTTCCCCGCCGACGAATGGGAGCTCGCCAACTCAACGGGCGGCCCTGCCAGGTGGGGCCTCTACACCACCGTTACTGTAGCTCGGCTGTTTGACACTTTAGAGGATGTCAATGCTGCTACTGTCGAGGATATTCTGGCCGGAGTTCCCAATGCTACTGTACCTGAGGATTGGGGTAACGATGTAACGGGATGGGGCCGGGGGTATGGTCCTGGGAATGGTAACGGAAATGGTAACGGTAATGGATATGGTTATGGGAGGAGGTTTGGTGTGAGTAGTGGCAGTGTGGGGAAGAGGGTGGGGCAGCGGGGGAGGGGATTGTGGGAGGCAGCAGATGCATGGTTTAAGAGCCTGTTTGCGGTTAAGAGTGTGGATGAGGGGAGTGAGGAGGAAAGGGGGGAGCAGAGGGAGGAGGAGAGGGAGGAGGGCACTGGTGACGGTAACGATGGGAGCGACGACACCGAGAACAATGAGGACAGTGACGATCTCAGCAGCAGCGGCGACAGCAGCAGCAGTGACAGCAGCAGCAGCAATGATGACAACAACAGCAATGATGACAGCAGCAGCAATGATGACAGCAGCAGCAATGATGACAGCAGCAGCAATGATGATGGTAACGATGGGAGTGACGACAACGAGAACAATGAGGACAGTGACGATCTCAGTGCCAAGGTCGGGAGTGACGATAGTGGCAGCAGTGACAGCAGCAGCAGTGATTATAACGATGATGGCAGCGATGACAATGCTGACAACGAGGGCAGCGATGACAGCAGCAGCAGTGAGGACAGCAGCAGTGACTATAGTGGTGATGCTAGCAGTGGTAATGATGGGAGTGATGACAACGAGAACAATGAGGACAGCGACGATCTCAGTGGCAAGGATGGGAGCGACGACAACAGCAGCAGTGACGACAGCACCAGCAGTGACGACAACAGCAGTGACTACAACGACCAGGACAGTGACAACAGTGGTGACAGTAGCAGCAGTGATTATAACGAGGATGGCAGCGACAACAACGACAGCAGCAGCAACTTCATGCCAGTAACCCCACCGTATATCGCCGCTGCTCCCACGTCACTCTCTCTCATCGTTGCCAATAGCGACACAGGCGAGGAGTGGAGTGGGCCCATGCTGGGAGTGTTCCTCTATTATGACAACTAGCCGGTTGATTATGGCTTTCTGAGGGGGGTCTTGTGATGAGAGGGTGTGGGTGAGGGACATGGGAGTGGGGCCCTTGCTGAGAGTGTTGGCTTGGTTGGTACGACAGCAACCTGCTTGCTGTGTGCCCTGGGATTGGGTTGCTGCCTTGCTGTGTGCGCTGGGGTTAGGGCTGCTAGCTTGCAATGACTGGGTGCTTCAGAGGGATCAGGTGTTCTTCATTGGGTGTGATCAGTGGAAGGAGGGCGGGCTTTGCTGGATTTCTTGTTGCCTCCTGGCCTGCGGGATTTCTTTGCTAGTTGGAGTCTCTTCTCACATTTGATTGGCATGCAGGCACGTGTTGGCTGGCCTCGGTGCAAGGCGTCATGCGATGCGACTCATAGATGCAGGATGAGATGGCTTCCTGCTTCGTGGTCAGTGTCGTTGAAAAGCAGCACAGTGTACTGCTGGGTGTATGGTGTTGCACGTAGGAGTACCACAAGGTGTGATGTTTAATATCTGCGCCTTTCTGTGCCTTCATGTCAATCATATAGTGAAATTCGATTTCAGGGAACTCTGTGCTGCAAGTTGTACAACACGTAAAGATGTGTTGAATTATACTGCATATCCTATAACTGCCTACAGCTAGCTAGTGTACTAGTTTAGTTATTAGCATCAACTGCTGGTGGTGTACCCTCCCTTTTGCCCATTCCTATATCTTGTATCCATTCCATAGTGAAAGCCCCCTCTTTGGCCAATCTCCCCTCTCGATACCATCGACATGCCTCTCCTAAAACCCAAGCTCCTAATCTCCTAAGTTTCCTAAGTACCATGGTTCTCAACATGCTATCAGAGCCCGTGTTTCGGTCCTAGGCCCTCGCTCAATTTTGAACCATAGGAGCTTTCCCTCATGCTCGTTTGCAGCTGCTAGCGGCCTGCAAGGCGACCGCCGCGACGAGCAGGAAGACGGTCGCGAAATGCAGCGCGAGTGCTGCAGCAGCTGCGCGATCGCCGTTCGTCGCGACCGCCTCGTCTCGCCCCATCGCCCCGCCCCTTCGTCGCCACGTCGCCTCACTGCTGCGCCTCTGCCGCCCCCCCCGTTCGCCCCCCGTGCGCTTCCGCACCCGTCCCGCCCCTGCACGTATGCGGGGGCGGTAGCTATAACGTGGAGGAAGGGGGGAAGGGAGTGACGGGCCGACGGCAGCAGTCGCCCGCGTCAGCGCCAACGAAGTTCGTTGGCGCCCCTGACATCGCCATCCTGCTCCCCGCCCTCCCCTCTGCCGCGCACTGCAACGGCAGAGACTTGGGGAGGGGGGTGGCGGGATTGGCAGGCGAGGATCCGGGGGTACTAAAGCCCCCTTGAACCCCCCTATCCTCCTCCTCGCTGCACCGCATCTGCTGGACGTGCCGCGTTGGGGGGGGAGGGGGAAGAAGGGGTGTGGGGGTGGCGGGTTTGACAAGGCAGCCCCAGCCGCACCTCCTCCCTCTACCTGTCAAACTCATATGCTATAGTCTATCTAGGCTGTAGTGGGGTAGACACTAAGGGGTATGGTTTCCTAGGGTTTCATACTTGTACCCCTCACATTCCTTAGTCCATCATTCCTCATTCTTCACATGGTATAGAGCGGGTTCCCTAGTGGGACCGTTTCTTCCAAGGGCCCACCTTAAAATTTTTTTTTTTAGCCTGCCCTGAACGCGCTTCGCGTCCTGCCCGGAAAACTTCGCGGCCCCTTAGTGGCCTGCCCCTTAACGGCCCCTTAGTGGCCCCTTCGCGGCCCCCCTTAGCGGCCCCTTCGCGGCCCCTTCGCTGCCCCTTCGCGGCCCCTTCGCTGCCCCTTAGCGCCCCCCTTCGCGGCCCCTTAGCGGCCCCCTCTCGCGGCCCCTTCGCTGCCCCTTAGAGGCCCCCTTCGCGGCCCCTTAGCGGCCCCCTCTCGCGGCCCCTTCGCTGCCCCTTAGAGGCCCCCCTTCGCGGCCCCTTTAGTGGCCCCTTAGCTGCCCCTTAGCGGCCCCTCAGCGGCCTCTTCGCGGCCCCGTCGCGGCCCCTTCGCGGCCCCGCCCCGTTGCCCGTAGCGGCCCCCGCCCCGTCACCAGTCGCGGCCCCGCCCCGTTGCCACCCGGGCGTCCCCCCTCCCTCGTTGCGACGCCTCAGCGGGACCCGCGCGTCGCCCCCGTCTCGTCGCGACGACCCTGCGGGACCCGCGAGGCGCGACGCCAGCGCGTCGCGACACCCCAACGGGACCCGGGCGTCGCCCCCGCTCGTCGCGACGCCCCTGCGGGACCCGCGAGGCGCGACGCCTGCGAGTCGCGACGCCCCAACGGGACCCGGGCGTCGCCCCCGCTCGTCGCGACGCCCCTGCGGGACCCGCGCGGCGTCGCCCCTGCCCGCCGCGGCGCCCTGCCCTAACCCGCGCCCCTGCAGCAGCCGCCCCTGACCCCTGGAGCAGCCGCCCCTGCAGCAGCCGCCCCTGGCCCCTGGAGCAGCTGCCCCTGCAGCAGCCGCCCGTGGCCCCTGGAGCAGCCGCCCCTGCAGCAGCCGCCCCTGGCCCCTGGAGCAGCCGCCCCTGCAGCAGCCGCCCCTGGCCCCTGGAGCAGCCGCCCCTGCAGCAGCCGCCCCGGACCCCTGGAGCAGCCGTCCCTGCAGCAGCCGCCCGTGGCCCCTGGAGCAGCCGCCCCTGGCCCCTGGAGCAGCCGCCCGTGGCCCCTGGAGCAGCCGCCCCTGCAGCAGCCGCCCCTGGCCCCTGGAGCAGCCGCCCCTGCAGCAGCCGCCCGTGGCCCCTGGAGCAGCCGCCCCTGGCCCCTGGAGCAGCCGCCCCTGCAGCAGCTGCCCGTGGCCCCTGGAGCAGCCGCCCCTGCAGCAGCCGCCCCTGGCCCCTGGAGCAGCTGCCCCTGCAGCAGCCGCCCCTCGCCCCTGGAGAAGCCGCCTCTGCAGCTGCCGCGGAGCCCTCGCCCTGCAGTGGTAGCGGCCTCGCTGTTGCCGCAGTCGTACGCCTGCCCTTCTCGTCACTGGTGAGCACTGCCCTGCCCGTCCTGCTGTTACTGCTGCTCCTGCTGTTACTGCTCTTTCTACTGCTACTGCTGCTACTGCTGCTACTGCTGCTCCTGCTGCTACTGCTGCTCGTGCTGCTCCTCCTCCTACTGCGCTTTCTACTGCTACTGCTGCTCCTGGCGTGGCCAGATGCAGCTCCAGCGCCGTCCACGTGAGTCCCTCACGCCCCAACAGCTTCGTGAGTGGTACGCTCGTTGGGGTTGTCGGGGTGGCCGTAGTGGGAGTCGTCCTGGAGTGAGTAGTTCAGGAGCTTCTTGTAGTGGCCAGGTGCAGCTGCAGCGTCGTGTGCGCGCGGTCCCTTCGCCCCCGCAACTTCGTGAGTGGTGCGCTCAGCATGGAGGGTCACGGGGTTCTGCTCGCTGCCCGTACGTCATTCGCACTGGTGCTAGGACTGGCCAGCCTTGCGGGACGTTTGGTCACACAGAGTCCCGCTGCTTCGCCCGTCTGAGCGACGCCTGGCGTACAGAGTTTGGCGACGCGGCTGAGCTCCCCGACTGGGTGGAGCTGCTTCGGCAGAGGGTAGATGTCTATGCTCTTGACTATGATGCTATCCTCACTGCCATGTATGCATTGCCTACTAGTGCTGAGGGTGCCTGTTACCTGTGTGTGCCGCCTGACCCCGGTCTCCAGTCTGCTGCTCTCGGTACTGGTGCGGCTGCTGCTCTAGGTGCTGGTACGTCTCCTGCTCCAGGTGCTGGTGAGGCTGCTGCTCTAGGTGCTCGTGAGTCTACTGCTCCAGGTGCTGGTGAGTCTGCTCTCTCTGGTGCTGCGCCTGCTGCGGTCTTGCACACCTTCACCCTTGACTCGGGTGCTTCCCGCTCCTTCTTTCGAGACCGCACCACACTCACGCCGCTTAGTCGGCCGGTTGCGGTCTCCTTGGCAGACCCCTCTGGGGGTCCTGTCCTTGCTCACTTCTCCACTGCGCTACCGTGTCCAGCGGCCCCGTCTGGCTCCCTGTCAGGTCTTTACCTCCCCTCGTTCTCTACGAACTTGGTGAGTGGTGCTGACCTGCAGGATGGGGGAGTTGACCAGTTCACTCCTGCGAGTCAGCGGGTGACCCACTGCACGTGTGCTCGGACGGGCCGACACTTGGCCACGTTTACCCTTCAGCCGGGGTCGAGCCTGTACACACTGACTACCGAGTCTCCTCCGGTAGCTGCGTCGGGTCAGGTGTTGGCTGCAGCGTCCAGGTCTGGTCCTAAGTCTGCCCCCTGCTCGTGTCGCCTCCTGTCCCACCAGACCCTCCTCTGGCACCACCGCCTTGGTCACCCCTCGCTGCCTCGTCTACGAGGCATGGCCTCCCGTTACCTTGTCTCTGGTCTCCCCCGGTCCCTCCCTCCCCTTCCTCCGGGGCCTGCCCCTACCTGTGTTCCCTTCGTCGAGGGGCGGCAACGCGCCGCTCCTCACTCCTCCGAGTTTCCGCCGACAGAGGCTCCGCTGCAGACTCTTCACATGGACGTGTGGGGCCTAGCCCGCGTCCGTGGACAGGGTCACGAGCGTTACTTCCTCTTGGTGGTTGACGACTACTCGCGTTACACCGCAGTCTTCCCCTTGCGTACCAAGGTTGAGGTCACTGGGGTGTTGATCGACTGGATCCGCGCTGCTCGTCTCCAGCTCAGAGAGAGTTTCGGCTCGGACTTTCCTGTTCTGTGTCTGCACTCCGACAGAGGTGGAGAGTTTTCCTCCGACCTTCTGCGAGCCTTCTGCCGTGCAAGGGGCATCCGCCAGACGTTCACGCTTCCGGCCTCTCCACAGCAAAATGGGATTGCTGAGCGCCGCATTAGCATGGTCATGGACGTCGCTCGTACGTCCATGATCCATGCGGCTGCTCCCCATTTTCTGTGGCCGTTCGGGGTTCATTACGCGGCGCAGCAGATCAACCTTCAGCCCCGGGTCTCCTTGCCGGAGACCTCCCCCACTCTGCGGTGGACGGGGAAGGTTGGCGATGCGTCTGCGTTCCGTGTCTGGGGATCTCGGGCTTTCGTCCGAGACTTGTCTGCGGACAAGCTGTCCTCCCGTGCTGTTCCCTGCGTCTTCCTTGGCTTCCCCCCTGACGCGCCTGGTTGGCAGTTTTACCACCCCACCTCGCGCCGTGTTCTGTCCTCCCAGGACGTCACGTTTGACTAGTCGGTTCCGTACTACCGTCTCTTCCCCTACCGCGCTGCCCCCCTCCCCCCCCCGCCGTTCTTCCTTGCGCCAGGTCCCCCCCCGGTAGACCCCCTCCCCCCTCAGGGCCCTGCCCCCTCAGGTGTGTCCCAGGTAGACGCAGTCGAGCCTGTCGAAGTAGCTGTTGACTCTGGTGCTGCTAGGGGTGCTGAGCCTGCGGGTGCCGGGTCTGGGGGTGCTGAGCCGGAGCGTGCGGAGCCTGGGGGTGCTGGGTCTGGGGGTGCTGAGCCTGGGGGTGCTGAGTCTGGCGGTGCTGAGCCTGGGGTTGCTGAGTCTGGAGGTGCAGAGCCTGGGGGTGCTGGGCTTGCGCGAGTGGAGCCTGGTGGTGCTGGGCCTGGAGGTCCTTCGGGTGCTTCGTCCCGGCGGGAGCTGCCCTCTCCCCAGGAGCTGCGTGAGTGGTTTGCTCGCCGCTGGAGCCGTGCTGCTGGAGCTGGTGGTGCTACCGGTGCTGGAGGTTCTGCGGCTGCTGGAGGTTCTGGAGCCACGGGTCCCGGAGGTGCTCGTACCGGCGGTACTGGAGCTGCTGGGCCTTGTGGTGCTGCTGGTGCTGGAGCTGGAGGTGCTGCTGGCGTAGGTGCTGCTGGAGGTGCTACTAGAGCTGGTGCTGCTGCGTCTTCCAGTGGTCCTGCTGGAGCTGGAGCTGCTGGAGGTGTTGGCGCTGGAGGTGCTGCTGGAGCTGGTGCTTCTGGGGGTGCTAGAGTTGGCGCTGCTGGAGCTACTGGGGGTGCTACTGGAGCTGGAGGTGCTGCTGGCGTTGGTGCTGATGCTGGGGGTGCTGGTGCTGTCCCTGGTGGTTCTGGAGGCGCTGCGCGGCCGCGGCCGTACTTCGTTCCACTCCTTGAGCAGGTTCTTGGTATCCCGCCTTCTACTGTTCCTGCTCCTTCCTTAGAGTGTCCACTGCCTGTCCAGTCCGGGTCACAGTTACAGCTCGCCTCCCCACTGCCTGCTCCTCCTCCCTACACTGGTCCTACTGGAGGG